GGAAGTCAAGTAGAACCTTGCCCTTTCAGGAACGGGTATCCTAGCAAGCAGGGATCTCATGCGCATGTACTCGTGTGTAGAACACGTCATGAGCTGTTGAAGCAACTGTTTCCCTGCAAAAGATCCCAAACTGTTAGGAGCTTAACTTACCTGCAAGTGCTGGCGGTGTAGCACAAAGTCTGCAAGTTCGGGGACAGTACTCAACAGCCATTGGAAGCTTGCATCCACCAAGTCGACGAACTTCATCACAATCAATTTTAACGGAATCCAAACATTGTAGACCTACAATTTTTGGCAAACTGAGGTGGCGATGAACGTAAATATTCTCAGTGTTGTAATGAGAAAAATTTCGAAAAACGAAGATCGAGTAACGATTAGAGAACTAGTCTTCTTCTGAATCTCGTGTGTTGTTTGAGTCCCTGACTTTTACATTGCATTTTATCGTAAAATCGATGATATTGTGAAACAGAACCTAATCTTTTTGTGAAAACTGAGGGTCCGAAGGCAATCTCCTACAGCGGTGATTATGCCCTTATGAGATGATCGTCCTTCTATTCTGTTTTTATAAAAGCACAAAGGAGCTGCAGGGGAAAGGGCTGGCCAGGTTTCCCAGAGATGTTCCCAATACAACAAAGATAAGAAAGTTACAAAGATTTCGGTAATGGAAATAATAGCAAGCCGGGAGGGACGACATTAACATATCGAGGGCCTGCTCAGCTATTTGGAGTAATAATTGATTTTCACGTTTTCTTTAAATGAGGTGCACGACATGGGCCTAGTGGCAAGTGGCACACAAACACACGTATGGTAATGGGTTCAAATTCTAACGATAATCGCCTATCCCAACCGAACCTTCCCTTCCTTCAGTGTCGGTTTCAATTGATACAAGAGTCGCCTGGGACGACAAAAGCACTGACTTGTAAATCCTCTGGCCGCCGCTGTTCATTGTGTAGGCAACACACGCATTCAATACGCCTCTGCGATTCTGATTGGAAGTCGAACCCGGGAGCACATCCTTTAAACGGGCCTGATCAACATTTAAAGACTTGGTCCTTCCCCCTTCAATAAGCCATTGAAGAGCACCGAAGTTCTCAAACGAAGTCCCATTCTGACTCCATGCTTTTTTGTGCCAAGACAACGTCATTATGATAGGATACAGAGCGGAGTCTCAATCCCTCACAGAGTTGTCCATTAATCTCCTGACCAATTCCTCTGAAAACTTCTGAATTCCACCTCTACTTGATGAATCATAACACGAACAAAAGTCGGAAATCAATAAAAACCCCCAAACAACTAACTGAATTTAAGAGCATTTCTTGATTTGAACAAAGCCAAATTCGAATCTCACCGTTGCAATTTTTGCATTTGATAGGACACATTTTCATATAGAATCCTGGTCTCGATAAGCATGATTCGGCGGTGAGCTGTGAACAAATAGCCGGATCCTTATCTCGACATCCTGAACGTACTATTTCCAGTAAACAACTTCGAATTTTGATTAGATTAATTGTCTTCGATACATTTCCGTAATTCATTGTAAATCTCGTAGTCTATTTTTTCCATCTATCGCAATGTATTCCGACAAGTCGGGAGAAACTTATTAATTCATTCGCTTGGAGAAAAGCGCCAATCAAAAACTGGATAGACAGGGAAAGGTATAGTCGTACACTGTCACACTTGCAATTCTATAATTAGTTTCTACGACTTCCAGCGAGGAGGTGACAGGCTTTTTGTGGTTCGTACCTACTTGGAGCCGTTCTAATTTTTCGAATTTGTAACTCACCCATGACGGACCTTGTATGGATAAGTTTGGAGCATGAAATTCACTAGCTGCATAGTAACTTTTGATTGAGCCCGACCTTACCAATCGGAAGCTCTAACTTTACCAGCTAATCTCTGTCGCTTGATGACACAGCGATTTGCTACTTCTACGAGAAACTATCTTCATTTCGAAACCAGAAGCCAGAAGTCATATTATGAGAAGATTCAAAGGTTTTTCTTACCCTCATGCTGAAGTATAAAAGAAAATCAAAAACAAAAGACTAATTTACCTAGTAGGCCGTTCGAAAAGCGATTGTGTAGATTCATTCTAGAATGTTCTGTAGTTCCTTCGGAACTGCTATCTAAGGACATGATCTAAGTGTATGCGCGGGGTGCGCTTCGTTGCGCGTGTCTGTCGAAACTAGGTCACGCCGCAGCCGTCGCATGCGACGAGCCGGCCCGCGATATTTGACAGACGTCGCAATTGTCAGTGGGGCATACGCTTTGCGTTGGTCCCGGTCTGTGCAGTTCAAGGAGAAGATAACACAGACAAATGCAAATCATTCGCTCCAATGACACTTGGTGGTACTGTAATGCCACCGCGAGACTCGGTGGGGTGCGCCGTGCGCGAAGTGGCTGCTTTCATAGTCCGCCGGCCGGCCGGCCGGCCAACGCGCCGGTGTGCCCGCGTGCCGGCGCGCGTGCCGGCCGGCGTGCCGGCGGACTATGAAAGCAGCCAGTGGGCGGGGTGACCTACTTTCGACGGACGCGCGCGACGGACTTTCTCCGTATGCGCGTAACATATCTGGCCTCCTCTTCCTTGCATATCTAACTTTACAATGGTATTTTGACACATTCTCTTCTACGAGTCGAATCCGGCACTACGCTGCTAAGCTTATTCAAGCTCATGTAAACTACTTGGCCGTTAATCACCATTCAAAGGACTGTGCGCAAATCGCTCCAGCGTTTTGAAGCCCAAAAGAAAGGGGGCCGCGATCAAGTGAACTGGTCGCGAACCTACAAAGTCTTTGTATACAGTATGCGAATAATGTTTCATAAGGTTTTTACACAACATCCCATGAAAGTCTAGAATTTTAGGAATTTTCGGTCGATTCTTCACGAACGGCTTAAGAGTCGTAAGAATTATCAGTCTTGGAAGTAGAAGATCCCTTTATTGCTTCACTGTTCCAATCACGACTTTTTCATTTGGTGGAGCCAGTACCAGATCTCCAACAAAATACTTACATGCGGTCTAGGTTCTATTCATTCAGCACTTATAAGGTGATTCAGACTAGTATCAGCCACCCACGTTAACTAATGCACTGAGTGAGTCGATCAGACAAACAGTTGTTCATGAGAATCAGAATTAAACGAAAAACATTGTGGTGAGAGGAAGACTTGAAATCGGAAAAAGGAAAGCGCTGTGTGGACACCTAGATATCTAAATTGTAAACTAACCTAAAAGTGTGATTAGGCTTGATAGNGCTAAAGGTTGCTCATCAATTTTTCCTCTTGGAGCGCTTCCAGTAGAGTCGTAGAAAACGTTAGGCGGAAATTTCGCAGGAAATGAGTAGACCACTGCTGACTGTGGGTTTGTCCGCGGACCATACGGCTGATGTGGAGTAGGAGTAAAATAAGAATATGGTGGAGGCGGGAAACTGGGCATCAGATGTTGAAATCCAAGAGAAGGTTGTAGCCAAGGAGAATGACCGGCTCTGAAAAGACACATTGGAGGAGGTTTACATATTTCTTGTAACAGTCCTTCCAAGAGCGAAGTCACCAACTTGAGAGCTGAGTCAGATAAAGGAGGGATGACTATTGGGTATGTGAAGAATGTGGAACTGGAGCCATTGAGTTTCATTGCTGAAAAGAAGCATTAAAAGCTTATGGGCCCTCTCCCCCAAATGTTACATTAGTGTACAAACGCTTCATGAACAACTCAATTGTAAGCTATTCAAGACTGTTCGGAAGTAATTCTTTCTCCAACTCGGAAATCAGCTGATTACATTGTGTTAGTCATCAGTTAGGCTTTTTACCTGTCACAGGGTCGGAATAAGGACTGGGGATGGGCTCGCCAATGTACCCATTTGCGGAGGGTTCCCCTCCCGTTTCTCTTGATTTCTGATCATTCAGAGTCAACTGCTTGAGTATCGGTGGAGATCTGAAGAAAGCGACTTGTAATTATGGGCTTCTCCATCGGCCCTACCAGAGTACTACTGCCCATTTCGACATAAAAGAGTATTTTCTGTTACTCTACTGCCTATTTCGACTTTAAAGAGTATTTTCTGTTATTTTTCTTGATTTTTCCAGAGGAACGCACCTATGGACTAGTGAGGAAGCAGCATGCTCTTCCTGTACAGTGTTTCTTTCGACAAGTGAAGGATTCAGTGGCTTGTCAGATGCCTGAAGAAAAGTTAAGCGCCGCATGAGAGAATATAAAATCGTCGATTGGTAAAACCCATTTACATCGATAGTAGTTCCGTGTCCAGCAGGTATGGTATTCGGTAAAACTTCTTTTGGTTTTGAAAACTGAACGGCAGTCAGTGGAGTTCTGGAAGTCGACTTTGTACCTGAATTATGAAGGATAGCAGCAATGATGAGTACCAGGATAAGGAGGGCTCGCTGATGACTAGAGCTTGAGGAATAAGCAGTACTCGCTTTTGTCAGAGCAATTCGAGCTATGATTTTCTCCCGCACGTCGACATATCGGTGAAACTCGAACTCGTTAGTTTCTTTCTCTCACGCAATCCCACCTATACATATATGTTGTGGCAACTAGGCGCCCTAACCGATTATATTTCAAACTACGGAAAACTATTTGTAATATGTCTGGAGAAAATTTGAGCATCATATTAAAGATATGCAACCTTTGATTGGAAAACTAAAAGGCGAGACCATAATTTTACATCATACATTTTCTGGAATTCTACAAGGAGTGGAGTTGAAAGCAAAGCATTTTGTTTAGATGTCTTGAAGGCTCCAAGTCAAATTCGGATCTCCAAGTACGTAGAACATTGGTCTACACGTCTGAGTGAAAATAATTGCAAATCTATTGGGTTTCGATTTCCCTACCAACTTATCTAACGCACTATCGGTTAAGAGAAATGTCATGTTCCCTTCTTACTGTGACTTCGTACCCTTGGTCCCTTTAAAACATTGGCGTGTTGGTTGCCCCATGGGCTGCTTATGACACTAATAAGGTTCTATATATAGCGGACATGTACTACAAACATAAAGCACCTGATCTTCCTGAACTATGAGAAGGTATATACTCAGTAATTAGTTCGCTTCATACCACCTTTACATTGTTACCCTCTTTTATTTCTTGTTTTCTTTCAAATTTCCTTGTGCACCAATCATTTCAGCTTCAAAAGGCCTCATGATACCGTTGCACCCGGCAGGAGGCTGTCGTTCTGCAATTACTAGTTCATTGTTCGTTTCAGAAGCAGTAGAAGACTGAGCAACGCTTCGGATGAAGCAGCAATGGGGGGAGACATGGACTAATAAGCGTTGGTGCCTTTAGGTTTGATTAGCCCCATGACAACCACAGCGATCAGTCGGCAGAACTGCAGACTTCAAAAGAACAATACAGCATTATAACTTCCTTGTTTTCATTTACGTACTTTGCAGTAACTAGTTATTGTTGTTTAGCTTTTTTGTTTACCCCATTGTCATTCTATTTACACTGCTTCTGCATTGCAGTTCAATTTGTTTTCCGTTTATGAAGCTTGATCAGCCTAGTTGAAGCCTATTATCAATCACAATCATTCAAATTATTGACCTCACTGGAGTAAATAACCTAAGACGCGAAGGTGGGCTCTTTCCTTATTATCGTTTAGAGTAAGGTATCTCCCACTTGAATTAGCTATGCTACATTTTGCACCACACTTTTGCATAGTGCGAAGAGGCAGTTTTCTTCAATACTGCTTATGGGAAAACTTTCTATTGAGATTTTCATTTCTTCAACAACTAGAAGTCAGAGAAAGTTCTCGAAGCTTGGAACTGTGACAGAAAACGTCTCGATGATAAATAGTCCACGCCGGACGAGAGCTTACCGTTTTTCTTCTCGGATTTCTTCTTGATGGGACGGCATGCTCCACAAAGGAGAGGACAGTAATCTTTCAGCATCGAATCACACTCGGGTTTTCTTGAATCCTTACAGGAAACGAAATGTGAGTTATGACAGAAGGCTGAAAACATCGACATGGCATGGGCAAGTTGTCGAGTTGTAGCACAATGCAGAATCAAGGACGAAGTGGTTCTCCATATCTCTTTAAACAGAAGATATCTGAAGGTCGGCCGTTACCCGCAGTGACGCAAGAAAATGGTTGTTCCCAGATGGAATTTCCTAATGTAGTGTGGTTCATTACGATTTTCACTCTGCCATCCCTACATCCGAGAAATATTCCAGTCAATGATGTGTTCACCAATTCCAATTGTCACTAATCTTCTAATGGTCAGCTGCATTGTCTTTGTGGAAACTTCATCCCTTCTAATCAGGAATAACTGCCATTAAAATTTTTAGAATATTTTTTCAAAATTGTTGGAAAATTTTCTCTACGTTTCACGTGAAGTGATCACAACGTAGTCACGGGTGTTTAGTATCAGGCTGCTCACTCGTTATATTCATTGCGAATCTTCTGTGTTCTATCTGGAGTGGGGAGAGAAGGGAAGGGTGAAGGAAGGGGCAGGGAGGCGAGTTGTAGTCTCAAGAAGAAATTTTTTTCTCGCAGCTCTTTGTCTCAAAAGTCATCCAACCGAATGCGGGTTATACTAAGCTCACGAAGCCCATTTCTATTTCATGCTAACCAGATAGAGTCCCGCGACCATGCAGTTCGCAGAATTCATCACACAGATCCTTTCAGTCAAGAAGCTTTCCATTCATGGGACTACACCAGTTTTAAAGCATGTTCGTCTTTTTTTATCGCACAATCCCCTCTCCCTCTCTTTCCCAACCATCATCAGAGACATGCCAACAAGTCCAGAACATTTTGCTGTCGTGTTCAGCTTCAGATAGTAAAAATGAGCCGGAATGGCTGGCATTTCACGAGTTTTCCTGCTGCCCTTCGATGTCCTAATAGAAGCTTCCACGCTTTCCTCCATATTTTGAAATATTCCTATTTCAAAATATGTAGGGAAGCTTGTAAGCTTGTGTCACAATCATGAAAGGCAGCAAATCGTTTTGACTGAATAGAACATCAGAATACGACTCACGTTCGCAGTCTCCGCACGTCTTCCTACAGTACTCTAACGCATAGCCGGGCCGGACTGTACAGTCATTAGTATTGCAATATGGGCTTTTGTCCATACATTCCTTGTCGATTTCGTCGATAAATGCCAAGGCCGTTCCGACCGTCATGGTCAACGCTAACCATGAACGCATCTATAAGTAATTCTACTAGAGAAAATGTGGCGATAGCGCCTAATTAAACGATGCATTATGTGCAATCGATAGTAATGCAACAGCTCGAAAGCAAATGACAAAAATAGGACTTAAATATAAACGGATGTTAGAATCGCATCGAAACTCGCGACTTCAAGAGAAACAATAGTCACATAAAAGGGAACTCCTAAAAATTGTGGAGGGCAGAAGCTTGCACAGAAACAGAGGTCAACCTGAGTTTCAATAGCTCAAAATAGAGTCCCTATGTAGCAGATACACCTAAAGTGAGGAGAAGCTCTGGAACCCCGGGGAGGCTTGCTCTCATCCCACCAGCAATCAACTTCACACCAATATTTCTTCAATTGAACCTGAATTATGTACTAGTTCATTGAGTCTTTCATCAATTAATTATTTTTTTCAAGATGAAAACCATAAAAACAATCAAATGACGTTATAGAAAAGTTTGTATGAAAAGAGTGACTCGGTGGATCAGGCCGGAAGTAGAATGCAGGTCAGAAATGCGATCATCACATTCATCTATGTGGTTGTTTGACGAGCAGTCAAGTGCTTATGTCAGCACTACTCCGACCGCTGCCCATAAGGTGTCAGCAAATTGTCAATGAGTTGACGCGGTCGCCCTTATACCAGACTCGTGCGAGTACGGTAGTAAGGGCTCCTACGTTTTTTTTCAAACTCTCCCTTGCACAGTAGTGGTAAAACTAAAGTGGAGTCTACGATCACGTTAGGTTTTTTTTTCAAAAAATGCTATTTGTATTCGGACAGGAAGAGAGTTGCTAAAAACTGCCTGTCCATTCACTCTAATCTTATTTATGCAAGAAAGCGATTCTCAGAAAGTCAAAAGCAAAAGGTCAAGCTTTCCCTGAATCGGTTAGACGTCAGGTATCTTAAATGTTTGAAAACAGCTG